GAAGTCGTGTTTCAACTGCGAACAGCACCGCTGTTTGAGCAACATGGAACACAAGGACTTACTCCGTTTCATCATCATCATAGTAATCAACGGTTTTTATTATTAACTCTAAATGTTTTATATAAAATCTAATATAACTTTTGTCGACTAAATAGATATTGGTAATTTCTTAAAGCTAGGGAAAAAACGCTCTCGTTCGTGTTATCGCTGGTTCCCCTCAGCCCCCAAGATTTCGCACCAAAGCGACCGATTCTGCCCAGATAGCCGCGTTACGGCCAGACCTGCGCGAACACGAGCCTCTAGAGTGAGCTGGCAGGCAGGGCATCCTGTCTCTAACTCCCTGCAATAGATTTGACCAACCTGCCCAAGCTACAACTTCTTAGGTCGCGCCTTGGGCCTCCTCTAACCAGGGGTGTCTAGGGAAGAGACAGCCTGAAGGGCATGGGCAGGATCATCCTCGGAGAAACGTACAAGGTGCCCGTATAGCCTGAATTGGCAGCCCTGGATTGTGTAAGTAACAGGTCCTATGATGATCCCACTGTGTAGCCGTCGGTTGTACACATGCCAATTGTACCCCACAATCCGGTGCAAAGACCTGTTACAAAAGGCATCAAGACATGACTCAAAGGCACTAAATTGCGTCCTTGTTTCCATAAAGCAAAACTGACTGCATGAGGGCCTTGAAGACACGCACTTGGTTCTTCTGCACAGTTACTGGCATCTCTAGATACTCTGGTTAACTGAGTTTATGGCACCTGCTGTAAGGCTAATCCATATCTAGAGCCATGAACTACACTACCAAGTTATATAACGCTTCCTGTGACTTCAATGCCCTCCCCACAAACGTGAATCGACTGCAAAGGTTCTAGCAGACCCCAAAAGTCCTGTATATTGATCTTGGTCCAAGAGGCCTAAATATCCAAGGGCCACCACTTGAGTTTCCAGAGACTAAGATGAAAGTGAGCAAACAGTTGATGGCATAATTCCATTCCATGTGTCTATAGGCCGTGTCACACTAGCACTTTTTCCGCATTACTTTTCCGCTGGCACCACGGAAATCGTGGTCATTTTGGCTTGCGCAGTCACACTAGCGATGAAAACCACGGAAACAGTTCGACCAAAATTCTAAACACAGAAAGATGGGTTCAACCCTCGCACAGGCTCTGGCGATGATGGACGTTATTCTGGCTATGTGACGACGATGTAATGCGAAACAACGAATGTATAAGGTTAAATAAGTGCGTATTCTCGCTACTCTCATCTAGTCAGCTGACGGGGGCAAATGTAAACAAACAGGCGAGCAGCTAGTTACAAACTTGTATCTGTTTTTATTAAATACAAGAGAGAATTTTGCCAATTTAAAAATATTATTTACAGTTTAGACTGTCTTTTTGAATCGTATATTATAAATACTTTTTTTTTTACATTACTATAACGATTATCTATTATAGCTTATCATTTGAACGAAAAAGACGACGGAAACTTGCCACCGAAAACGATAATCATCGTTTGACTGGAATTATCGCATTCACCCAAAATACAAGCGGTAGCGAGAAAAAAAAAAAAAAAAAAAAAAACACGGAAACGTGAAAGAACCACTGAAATTGTGCTAGTGTGACACCCCCTTAAGTGATGTTGAAACAATGAAAGATCTGCTTACAGATTGCTAACTCGGTAGCCTTCCCAGTTGGAAACTCAAGTCATGTACGGTATTTACAACTGGCATAATCCTTACACTTTAACACATTTTACGTTCTTTTCAGATAAGGTAAAGGCTTGGCACTCTGTAAATACACTATTCTTAGTGCAGCCTTTTAAAATATTTTACAAAATATTATGGAAAGAAAGTGATTATATGTAATTAAGGCATGTACTGAATACGTTTCAATACTTATCACTAATTTGGAATCTTTATAGTCGCCCCACCTGATTTATCCTCTATTCCTTACCGTTATCGTTCGTGAAAGTAATGCTTATGTGGTAAGCATCACCCTCTGCCAGCCATCTCCTACTCCCTCCACCTTGTACAGTTCCTTTATTTGCCATCCAGAAGCGACTCACTACATGCATATCCCCTTCGAGGCATAGCATAATAAATCTAATTAGAAATTATATTTCGCTGGTAAATGTTGATCTACATACAGATTTATGAAAAAAAATCTGTGTTATATACTACTTATATTTCATAAAAAAAATATTCAATTTTTTTATGTGATTCTTGCATATACTCACAATCAGAGATACATAAGATTCTGATTTTAAACTGACGGTGTTACTTACCTGATCGCAATGATTTTCAACGTTTATGGTCTTATATTTATTCCAAAGGATATTTTTTCTCGTTTGCAAACAAACAAGTAGGGACTTGGGAAGGCGCACTGTCCATGTTTTTGATGTTAGATACTCTGAGATTAAGAATTGAATTTCTTATTTATCTTTTTAGATAACAGAGCAAATTACGCCCTATATTTGTTACATATTCAATACGCATACGATATTA